ACTCAGTGCTCTTTAAGTTGCAACATGATCTCCAGAAGAATTGCTTGTACAAATGCAAAATTTGCGCAAATGAAGTTTTAAAGCTTACTGCAAGAAGAAAACTGATAAATTCAAGCCATAACATTTAACTGAAAGTCAGATTTTTATGTTGCTAATGTTTCATCGAGAGCGAGTTAATTTGCGAACAAAACTTTTCTATCACTGTAGATCAGACCTTCCATTTTGCACATCTTTCGAACAAGACGATCCAAGATCGTAAGTCGGGCTACAGGGCCGACGTGCTGTTATGAGTGTTGACCATTCGTGGTGCGAAGTGGTTCTAAAAGAAATACTAAGGAGGTACCAAGGTCCTAATTTGTAGGCGTGGGATAAAATTTGTTTTCAGCCCCGAGAGACACCAATTCTACAACAACGCACTGTCACATATTTTTGGTGCAATGCCCTAAAAGGTATCACAGAAGCTGCTACTATTTCAGAAAATCGAACTCGCCAAGTGAGCTCAAATTTCTTGTTCAAAAATTTAAAAATATGCAACTTGTCGTATAATTCGTTAAAAGTTAAGTTGAATCTTTCTTAAGTAAAAAAATAAGAAAAAAAAAAACACTATACCTATGTTTATCTCTGATAATTTCATCCATGTCTTTCTTTTTGAGGAAGCTTAACCCTATTTGATTCATTTGTGAGATTGTGCTAAGTTTTTGCGACAACTGCCGCTCAAGTAGATTCGATATATTCGAGGGTATTGGGGCGTAAAGAACGGCGGAAGACTTCGCAAAATCGTTTGGGTATGCCTCTGTTTAACTAAGAACGACAAAAAGGAGGAAGAGCAGTCTGTCAATATGACAATATGCGACGACTTAGTTTCAGGATTGCATATGACTTGCTTAAACGAACAAGTTAGATCGGAAGACCCATACAACGCTGAATTGTAATCTCAGTAATAAAGTAATAAATTTTACTTACAGCGGCGACCAATTCAGCAAAGTAGTGATACTATTCCTGAAATAAAGAGTTATAGTACTTGTTTGTAATCATCCGGGGGCGGAACTCGAAAACGAAACTACTCATAGTCTGCTCTATTACATCGTGGCTTTTTTTGATACATCACTCCGAGCGAAATACTATACTTTTATCGATATATGTGTCGACCCTCTTAACCTCAAGCTATTGTGGTCAATGTAACCTTGTCTTGAATGTCTACCGCACCACCTTGAAGAAAAGTTTGCGTGATATAAGTCTGCGTGACAACTACAAGTGAGATTTAGGTTTAGAACTCACGCGATTTTCTAAACACAGGTTGGCATCACGTTTCAGAATATGGCCGGAACTGTTAAGCAATGTAAGAATAACCACCAGCAGTGGTTTAAATCGTAAATTTGAGCTGAGTGCGCATAAAAGGAAAGAAAAATAACCTAATGTTACAAATGACACAAAGATACATACATACATTTATACTTTATCAGCATGTCCCCCGCGTGGCTTTTCAGAGTCAACGTTGATTACATTAAAAACGCAGAAAACTAAACATATGAAAATGATGACATTAAAAGAAGACAAAGGTTGAATAAAAATTAAATAAAACAATCATTAAGAAGTTTTCGCCTGAGTAGGCGCCTGAACTCCGTCACGGATGGGCCAAGTTTGAGTGCAGGTACGCGGTTAATTTGGCCCAATCTACGACATGTCGGAGGATACGGTGGAAGCAATATGCCCCGTAAATTAGAGTCCGGTGTGATTGCTGGGTAAGAAATCTTCGGTCTTACTCGTTAAGCATCTGAATTTAACAGTAAAAGAAAGCTTCTTGCGTAAGATTATGCAAACTAGAAAAAAGGCACAAGACATATGAAGGGAATGGAGTATATACGTCGCAAAATAACACACTAAAACCTAATGATAATTAAAAGAAACAACCAGAAACTTCCAAATTGTTTTAATTGGCCGACTGCGCAGATTAAGTTAAATGATTTTTTAGTTGTAACGCATATCGCAAAGTCTTCCCCACGGCTTCCTAGAGACAATTCTTACACTTTCATTATTTACTTCCTACCGCCTCATTTAACAAAATTATAATAAAACCGGTTTCTCTAAACTATCCTCTAAGCATCATAAGTTTTCTGTAAGCACAATCGATTAGTTTTAGTCAGGAGAAAAAGACCGCGAATGTTAATGCCATATTTGTTAAATACCGGAGGTATGAAAACTTTCAAACGCTACATGGTGAGTCATTAGATATTCACGATCGACATGAATTGTCACTGAGATAATAAAAGTTTCCGGCAATCCGGACGACCAAACCCACCTGAGTAAACTGAGATTAGCAATGAAGCAGACAACAGGGGTGTGGCGGGAGAGATTAATGACAAGTTTTCGACCTCAACTAAATGACATCGATGCGTAGTCGATAAAGTCCTACGTCATGCCATTCGCAGTCGAGCCTATGAATAATCAAGTAACTTAACAAATTGACGGTGGTTTAGCGTGGTCTGTACTCATATCTTACGTAAGATAAATAAAAACGATTCTTTCCATGCGTGACACGTTGACGCGAGCGGCGCTGTCTGTATTCTTGTCGACAACGACAAATTGCCAATCAGATTGCGACCTTACTACCAATTGTGGTAAAAAATAAACAGCAGGTGGAATATTGGAAAGACTGACTTCTGCCTGAGTTTCAATGACCAGCATCTAATTTCTCTTCACACTGATACCGCTGAATCATTCATTAAGATGACGAGAATAAAGGAAATGATCAGCAACCTTAGAAGCTTTGATTAATGAACCAGATCTCCTTTTCAGTGAATGGAGAATAAGGATATTGATGTTGGGGTGTAAAGGACTATTTCTGTTTCTATTTTCGGTCATTGAAATTCATATTAAGCTGACTTTTGTGTTTAAAATTGTATTAAGAAAACTGACGAAACGGATTGGGTAAAACAGTTGAAAAACTTTCATTTCTCTTAGCTTTTGAATTCATGGAATTCTCCTTCTACCAAAGAAATCTAATTTTCCAGTAAATTTCCTTCTCTGGCAAAAAAATTGATAGCAAGTCCTCGAAGTATCATGTCCGCCACTTTTCTAGTTAAACACAAAATGAAAAGTCTACTTAAAATATCATACAGCGGACACTGTGAGATATGGTAGACTTTCCTACATTCTCTCTTTCCCGTTGTACCATCTCTAAGTTATTACGCACGGCTACCACATCATTATGTTCAGGTCCAGGCTTTTTCAGATAACTGGTCTGTGCACGATCGGGAAATTCTTTTACTTGCCGAAGGTCACCACGATCATAATGCACAGTACCCAGATTATTGTAAGTAGCTGCCGCATCGACATGTTCAGGTGCGAGCTTTTTCACACGAATGGTCAGTGCACGATCATGACATTCTTTTGCCTCCTGCAGGTCACCAAGATCCTGGTGCACAGTACCCAGATTATTGTAAGTATTTGCCACACCGACATGTTCAGGTCCGAGCTTTTTCAGACGAATGGTCAGTGCACGATCATAGCATTCTTTTGCCTGCTGCAGGTCACTAAGATCATAGTGCACAGTACCCAGATTATTGTAAGTAGCTGCCACATCGACATGTTCAGGTCCGAGCTTTTTCAGACGAATGGTCAGTGCACGATCATGACATTCTTTTGCCTGCTGCAGGTCACCAAGATCATGGTGCACAGTACCCAGATTATTGTAAGTAA